TTAATAGTGGAGTTTTTCTCTTCAGGATTTCTAGGACCTAGAGAAGTTATTATAAAATACAAATTTACAGAAGCAATTATTGGAATCAGGGAACAATGAGGTGTTGAAAACTCAACCTCAATAATATTAATTAACAAACAGTGAAATTTGACCTCGTCCTTTTTATTTTAAAAAGCATGAAAAGAGTACAAAGAGAAGAATGAGGAAATAAGTAATAAGCAGTAGTTTGACTGTAGAAAATAACCTATATTATCTATCAGCTGTACAGTAAGTAGGACTAATGATTCTCTTAAGTAATATAACTAGTTTTGCTAAGTAGTCATAGGACAGAAGCAAGCGAGAACACATAACATTCAGAAGACTTTAATACTGCTTAAAGGCAAAACATAATATACAGAGTAACCCCCTTAACCTAGTACAAAAATACTGTGCCCAGAAACTATATATTTCATCAAATATTTTTAAAAGATAACAGAATACAAATGGACAAACTCAGTGGCTAGTGACTGTGATTAAGATTTTTATTAAACTATAATAGAAAGGTATATTAAAACTATTTACAGTGCATTTCACACTACATTCTTTAAGAGACACATGCAGGTGTCTGCCATGTGAATACATAGAGGGCTCAAATTCTAACTTCAGTTACATCTGTAAGGTACCTTGGGCATCAGCAGGAATAGCTGAATACAGCAAAGAGCAGGTGAGGCAAGTAAGAGGTTGGTTCCTCTTTATAGGTAAAAAGGGTGGATTTGACCCATTCTTTCACTTCCTATACAGCTCAATCCGGCTCCCACTGAGGTAAATGGGAATCATGTAATTGACTTCAAATGGGCATCCGAGCATGCCTTAGGCCCTGGCATGACAAGCTCATGCTGTGAAAGTTAGCGGAAACCAGCTATTATATAGCATTGTCACATAAATATACATTTACAAACAGTGGTACTTAGATATGAGTTTCTCTATGGAAACAAACTTTACGTGGAAAATAAACTTTCCCATGCAATTTCCATTCATCTAGCAATGGCAAAGATAAAGTATCTTGCTGCCACAATTTGCTGTATTTAGCAAGTGTCACTAATTACCAGGCCAGATTCTGTGATGTTTCTTGTTCCTGTGAAAGTCCAAACCAAAAAATCCGGCCCTCATTATTTATCATACTCTGGCCAAGCTCATTTTTTTTTATTCAAGCTCCAATGTTCAAGCTTATCTTTCAAATTAGTGCAAGTCCCTGAAGAAGTACAGCAGGGAACTGTGAAATAAAGCTGAAACCCTGTGGAATGTAAACTGCATGTGATTTGACATGAAGTAAAAACTACAGCAACACAGAGACAAGACTCCTAACTACAGCTAAGGTATAAATTTGCCTGAAATACTAGGTCTCTTTAAAACCTTTAAAAATATATGAATTTATTATGAGTGAGGCATTTGATGATCTTAAGGGTCTTTTCCAACCTAAATGATTCTGTGATTCTGTGATCTTTTCCATCAAAACCCATTGCTGTCTTCTCATGCATAACTGCAAGGGGCATCAACCAGATCACTCGGGCAACATCCCCTAATTTTAAGGGGCTAGATCTGGCTCTTCATAATCTTTCTGTATAATGGGTTGGAAAATCAGTTACCTACTAATTTTGAAAAATCTTATATATGAATTAGACTGTTTTGATTTTGTCAGTTCGTGCCGCTGCTAGATAAAATGCATTGGATTGGAGTTCAAAAGTTTATCTGTACATGCACGCAATTGTCAGAGGGTGACGCATAAAACGGGCTTCAGTCCTGTCTTCTAAAGAGAGATCAGCTGCTCATCAATGGAATAGATAATTCACTTCTATCACTAGCCTGCTTGTACTTGTATTCTGTGAAGATAGGAGAGTAATCTGCTCTTAACTTTAAACTGCTACTAATTAAAAATCAATACCATCTCCAAAATCAACATTACATTATTTTCCCCTCCTTGCTTTTATTGTGTGAGATAATAGAAAATGTAGACATTCTACAGCTAATATTGGACGTGTAAATAACTTGTTGGAAAAGAAGTACTACCTACAGCTTAAGAGCCTCACTGTTATTTTTAATTAGAAGAGGTGGGGTTAATCAGTAATTTTGTGTATGTCAATATGTATGACAAGTAATTTTTTCAGAAGGGGAACAAAAACAGAAGGAAAAGTGTACTTTAAGCATTCAACTGTGCTGTGGAATGACTTCAAAAAGAAAGTATGTCCATGTCTGAGAACAAGTAGGATACTAACTTAGATGTCTTCACTGAGACAAGTATTAAAAATTAGCAGGACAAATTCTGTACCTGAAGCCTTAAATAGAAAATTTCACAATGGCTTTAATGGACTTAAGACTGAACTGACAAAGTGATAAACTCCATTTCAGCTTGTTTCTTGTGTAATCCACACTGATTGGTTTAGCTAGACAATATAGGTTGGGGAGAATATGTTTGAGACCTGACTAAAATAATTAGATACACAACTCATGATGAAATTAATGGCAGCTGCGTGGCTGTAATCCACTAGCTGCATTTAAAAATGCTGAACTCTGAAGGCAATGGATTTCAGGCAGAAAACAGCCTGGCTTTTTTCCATATTGTCACCTATCTACATTATGAAAGGAATAAGCAATTTCTGCAAACAGTTCACACAAAGCTGTGACACAAAACCAGCACACTCTGACTTTGCCTTCAGGCAGAGTAAAACACTATATAAGCAATCTGATCACTCTGAAATTTCATGAAGTGCAGCAATCTATGCTTTTAAGGTTCTTAAACCAGTAGTTTAAAGGGTTTGGTTTTGTAGAAATATATACAGATACAGGTGTATTATGACATTTAAATGGTTTATTTACTAGGAACTGTATCGCTATGTATGTTCCCATCTTTGTAGTGGAAGAGATTCTGTGGGATAAATGTATACAGATACGTAATTAAATATAAGCACATACTGTATAACTGTGTTCATTTTAAGTGAACCTTTGAAAAAATGCAACGTCATGTCCATTTTTTTCAAGTCAAAGGTATGAATCCAGCACTTCTTTGTAGTAGTTCTAAGTTTATGTCATAATAAAGCTTTGCTGAACACGCAATATAGCAAAGAAATACCTGGATCTTAATGTAAATGATACGTCACTACATTGTAATATCACAATAGTTGATTTGCTGTGTTGTCACCATGAATTACTAGTTGCAACCATACTAGCAAGACTACACCTTTATATACATATACTTTATTCATATTTATATTAAATATGTATCTCCTCGCTTAGTGTAATAATTATATTTCAGTATCTCAAGCATTCAAGGAAAAGAATATACAAGGACTATGCAAATCCTGAAGCAAAGTTTCCTATTTATGAAAAAGTACCTAAAAACTTTTTTTTTGTGGGGTGTGCTGGGGGTAGGCTGCTGTCATTTTTCTGCATAGCTATGACATACTATATACATATATTGTACTGTGTATGCATATAAATACACATATGGAGCACTGCATAACAGTAGCCCTAGAATTCTTAATTATTGTTGAACTCCATACTTTTGAAAATCTGGAAAAAAAATCAGGAGAAATACTTTTGTAGAAAAATGTTTTCAAATTCAGCTGCAATGTATTATTGGTAGTCATTAGAGAAGTTTGAGATAGGATTTAATCAGTGATAAATAATTTAGGTTGGCAGAAATGCTGCAGACTATCAGAATACCTTATTCTCCATTAAAAAAAAAATCAACTATGAAACTCAGTATCGTCAAACATTTTGAAACACTTGCTTCATCTTTTGTTAGATTCTGGTATAGTTTATCTAAATGCAGAGACTGATAAAAAGAGGTTGTTTTCACTGTCTTTCTAACCAGCTCTTACAAGGGGGGATTGATAATCTCCTGGGAAGAATTTACTGCAGTTTCCAACTAGAATTTTCTGGATTACTGTGATAGAAATAAACTCCCATGCTTCAAAGTACAATCCCAAATGTATTACTTTTGCCTAATACTATTGCTGATTTTAACTGAAAAATCATTACTACAGATTGAAAAAAACCAAACAATTTTCTGTGTCTCTGTGCAGCCAAAGTTACACCTACTGCTAACCAATCTTAGACTGCTGACATTAATGTCCTAATCCTGTCTACCCAAAGAATAGTACTCTCTTTGTATTACTCTTTTGGGGTTTGTCTAATGTGTAAATTTTCTTGAATTGGTTCCCACTTCAAAACAATTTTTATTAGTCATCTTCATTTAAATAAAATATCAATGTTGCTTTTTTTACTACTGCAAGTTAATTGATTTCTTACTTTTCTGAACGTTAACACCTTATATACAAATGGCAAATCCCTGTAGCATTCTTGGCTATTTTCCCTTTCAGTATTCTTTTTTCCTATTCCTTTAAGACATTGTGATTAATCATTGTTAACATTAACTAATGCTAAAAATTATTTTTAAAAGATGTTAACATAAAACTTTCTGAAAAGTGGTCTTAGCCATTTCATCACAGCACTGGCCTAAAGAATCAGTCACTGATAGTCACCAGAAGTGTGCCATTCCTGCATCATTCTGATTCAGATTTTCATCTCTTGCTCTTGCAGTCATATTCTCTTCTACTCTTCCTGCCCGTGATTCAGTCTGTTGGTTATGATGATGTTAAATTCAACTTCCAAATGAAGGTAAAACCAGCATATAAAAATGATCCTGTTTAGTTTCCATTTCTCTGTGTGCTTCTTGCAGCTTCCTAGGGGAGCCATACTTCTGTGGCAGCCTGTCAGTTATGTTGTGACATTTCATCAATCTTCAAGTAGTTCATTATCCATTATTCGTAGATAATTATGACATTTCTACCACAAAACTCCTAAGACCCCCACAGCCTAGTAATTCACAAGGGTTTTTAAAAATTTCTCCAAATGTAAGACATTTGCTAAGACATTCCTCTAATATGAAAAAATCTACTGGGTGCACAGCTTCTGGGGCTTTTTCACTTCGAAGCCCAGTTCTGTCTCCTGAAAGAGGTTAGCATAGTATATGCTGGATTAGGCTCCCCAGAGTTTGTCCCAATCTTTCCTCTGAACCTCTGGGAAGAGAACAGGCAAGACTGCTCATTAATTTTATAACATAACACAGCAAGACTGGAAGAGGAAAAAAGGTGCAAAATGCAGTAGTCTTTAAGATACTGGCCACAACATGATCACTAAACAACTATATACATCTGTAAAGTAATAGGCTCTCAGGGACAGTCGAGTAACTGCACTTGTACCTTCTTGTGGAACAGGGTTGCAAAAACTACCCTTGCAGATCTGTTTCCATCTCAATCAGATGTAATAAAAGAAACATACTATTTTTATATAACCTTGGCACATACATGGTCATGCTATGTCTTGAAATTTGGGAAAATAATACAGCAGTGGCAAAACATAAGCCAAATTCATACAGTGTTTAAGCAAAATGCAGTACTCCCCTATTACTATGTGTTCTATGTGAACTTAAGCTTGTGGTTGTTAAATCAGCATCTCAGTTCCGTTTGGCTTGATTGCTTTCTCCATTAATCAGATTCTTCTCTTGTTGTTCAGCTAAGGATTGCCATTTCTGCCTGTTTTTTCTACAGCCATCCAGTAAAGGGTAGCAGGCCTCTGACACATGCGTTAGGGCCTGAAATAAATTAAGAACAATGTAAATGTAAAACAGATCACATTTAACAACAAAATAAGTGTTCTTGAAGATGACCATGAGAGAGACCAGAATGACTGAAATACGAGGTCTATCTATAATTGAAAATGAACTTGTATTTTGAACTTCAAGGAAGGCTTCCTGCTGCACATCAAACATGAACACAATCACCTGGCACTAGTGCAGATTAGACTGAGTGGCAGTGTCCATACAGCACTTGATACATAGGTGCAGAAGGAACCATGGTTAAGTTTGTTGTATTATGCACAAGTGACCTGTCCAGTATTCCTGGTGAAGTACTATGCATGGACTTTCTTTGCAAGCCAGTCCTCTGAATGTATAGCAAGGTCGGTCATAAGGATGACCTTGGAATGGTAATCAGACACAGAGCAGGTGGGATCAGTGGGACCATACTCACTGACAATGTATCAACTGATTCAGAGGAGTTCTCCTGGAAATATTTGAGTTCAAGACAGCACACGAGAGATGAATTACATTTGACACTTAGTGCCTTTTAGGAATAACTGTGACTGAAGTCAATCAAGTATTTTTCATGATGTGGCTGTGTTACTATATCAGAGTGAAGGAAAACTGGATTCTGATATTTAAATATAGAACTGGGAAAAAAAAAAACCCAAGCATTTTTGTATATTTTTCTTTCCCAATGGAAGTGATACAAACATATCCTCACACTGTGACAGTCAGTCCTTTTTTGCATAAAGGGTTCTGTTGGCTTTTGGAATGAAGTCACACTATTCAGAAGCGTGAAGTGGGAGTTTAATAGCTCAGACAGTGCAGGACCACAAGGTACGAGAAAGAGTGAGCCCACTGATTCTGTAACTCCTATAACCAACTGCAAAGTACACAGAGAAGAATCCTGGCCCCTCTGCTGGTCACTACACAAAATGTAAAATCAGTCAGAATTTTACATGGAATTCAGGTCTCATTCAAATAACATGAGGTAGCAATGTCTAATTCTCCTGTAACTTTTCATAGGGACCCTACTGAATTATCAGCTTGCATAAATCTTCATAGTTCCTTTTGGCTTTATAGGCTGCTTCATTAGTTCCAGTAGACTTAATCGAATTATTCTTGATTTACACCACTATAAGAAGAATGGGGCTGTCAAATATCTCTGGATTTTTCCTGTTTTGTCTGAATATATCTGCTAAATGGTACTTTTTTCAATTAAAAAAGAAGAAAATGAAACACATTTCTCTTATTTTTTTCAGATTTCTGAACTTAAAGGGAAGACTTGGAGATCATTCAGTTTAACTGCACTGGTTACCTAGCTAACACAAGCCACAAAACTTCCGTTCGTTGGGATCTGAGCTACTCCGAATAACATGGTAAGTCACATACTTGCAGTGCTGTATTGGGAACTCATCTCTGTTTGCGTGGTGTGTCAAATTCCTACTGACTGGATGAATGCTAAGGAAATGGTGAAAAGGCTGTCATTACAACCCTGTTTATTGTTTGCTTTTATAGCATTAGAATGTTGGAGAGTGAACTGTGTGCTTGTTCAAAGTAACACTGAAGTTGTTTATATGTTTTACCATTTATGACTCAGTGAAGAAAACAAAAATCTGTGTAAGCAGGTAATATCCCCTACTTGTACTCCAGTCAAAATAAACAAACACCGGATCAGCTCAAACCATAGCCCCTTCCTTGGATTTACCAGTACTGTTATGGGTTTTGTCACTTGCTCATAGGCTCCCCATCCTCTGTAGCGCTCTCTGCCCCTGCAGGTGAGTCACTCTCACTTATCAGTTAGGTTTGGACACATGCTGGCATACTCTGAGTCCGTATAAAGTCCCAGACACTGTCAGCCTGCTACGTGCTGTTCCAGTTCAGGTCAGACTTTGAGGTGAGATGACAAGCAAGAGTGATACTCTGAAAGCTCTTAAGAGGCAACATGTTCTGAACAAAAAGATGCTGCTTAGACCCCCTCCTGTGGATGTAGCATCTCCTTCTTTCTTCCCCAGTTAAAGAGAAGGGAGAAGACTCCAAACATTTGTAGGTGCTTTTGGCTGCTAACCAGGAATGGCTTTGTATGCACTGTGGCATAACAAGGCTGCAGTTACAAAACAAGGGCACAGTAGCTAGAAATCACTCACGCACATCATTTCCTTGCAGGAACTGTACAGGAGCTGGGTACAGTTTAGACTCGTATCTCTTGGTAACTGTTGATGTAAGCTGCAGTGCATATTTCAGAGTAAATAACTGAAAATTTTCTGGTCTTTTCATAAATGGAAAGGTAAAGCCCTCCCCTAACAAGAAAAAGTATAGAAGTTTAGGCTCTGGAGCTGTGGGCATTCAAACCTGCTCAGGTGTTCAAAGAATTTTCTGTCTCTATAGTCTGTACCTTTCCACAGATACTCGGTCTTCTTTCAGTGGCCTACCTCCTACTGGAGACAGTTTTCTGAGGCTTCCCAGCACAGGCTGCCTTATTTTCCTGACAAATAGTTTCTACAGCACAGAAACATGTGAGTTTCAGGGGCAGCAGCTAGTAGCTCCATTTTCTTCCTCTGTCCTTGTTTCCTTCCAACTGGTGGATGTGGATTCTTTTTAGAAAAGTTTACTGTGTAAGAGGGAAAAATTTGAGTAATCACCTTATTCCTCCCACTGGAAGATTCTTAAGTTAGGCTATCTGTTCCTTACCTTTCTTTTTCTCACCTCAGTTCCTGTAAAATACTTGCTACAGTCCCAATGAACAGGCTTTCAGTCTAGTGCTTTACTGGTTTAAAAAACCCAGAAATCATTATGGTTTTGTTTCACACTATTATCTGACCAAGTATCTGCTTACACAGTTTGTGACCAGGATAAAAAACATTTCAATGAATTTTCCCATGCACTGCTTTTGTGTGTGATAAAAGAGAAAGAAAAAAATGGGATGGGAAATGTTAAACTCGAGTAAATTTCCTATACATAGCATATCACCTTTTGCATGAGGAATTCTGAATTCTTTAAAACTCTTAAACAACACTTTTTATCAATGCATGGCATGGATACCATTCTTTTCCTAGAGAGCAAAGCATTAGTTTTATGACTTTCCCTGATGATCGTAGCAGCTCACTGGAGCTGCTGGAATCCAGAATATAACCCAGGGATCTAACATCAAGTGCACAGAGAAGAGCAATTACCACTAGGTTTTAAAAAATTATAACAAAATAAGTTAATCAGACAAACATACCATTAATAATAAATACTAAAATAATCATTTCTTCAACTGAATAATGACCATATGTAATACATAGCAAAAAAAACTTTTTTAACTAGAGACTAGTTTTTTATTTGATTTTTATTCTAATTTTAAATCTCCACCTATTAGAGGCTATAGTGAGCAGTTCTGGTTTTAGATATTTGCAATTCTTTCTTAGGCACCATACCTCATACAGTTGCAAACAAACAGCATCTATGAATCCAACCTGCATGCTGGGAATTTTATTTTTCTTCTCTCTGTTCATTAGATCCTGCAGATAAGAAGTAAACAAGCTCTGTGTTTAAATGCGTTAAATAAAAAACCCAACCAAAATCAAAGAGACAGGCTGGAATTAAAAAGCAGCACCTTAAAAAGCACAGCAAACTCAGCACAGCAGGGTGTCAGTACACGTGTTACAAAGCAGGTAATTTGCCTGCATGACTTGCCTTTGGAGATTGTCTTTGGAGTGACAGAGCCCAAATAGCTAGACGAATAGACAAGCTTACTGGTTTTGGATAGGTTGCAAATAGGTACCAATTTAGGAATGTATTTCCTAGACAATTTAGTAATACCGATTTAGAAAGAATAATGCTGACTGTTCTTCTGGCTCAGAGATAATGACACACTTGGTATTTGGGAACCACAGAAGATCAACTGACTACTAGGAA